ATTAATCGTAAAATGCAAATGGATCCCACAACACGTATCTACAATCTGACTTAGATATAGATATATATGGAAGAAAAACATTTGTTCCATTGTGGAATTCTTAAATTAATAAAAAAATGTTGCTAAAACATGTGATTGTGTTTTATTACTTGTCTCTTCTTTAAGGTTTGTGTGACGCTCGCAACATGCGAGTAGCGAGCGATTCATTGCCAAATCATTCATCATGTTACTGCTGTTTAAATATAAGCGTTACGTTATTACGAGCTGTTGCAAAACGTGTAACTTGCTATTGGAATTGTGAACTAAAACCAGTGTAGTTCCAAACGAATCGCGTAAGATTTGAAAGAAATAATTGTAAGCGCCTACAATTATAAAGTAGCAACGTTATGTTCGAAGAAGAAATTGAAACCATTAGCAATAATAATTATAGATAGCATAGATCTGACCAAAAAAAAATTTGCTTACATCAAATTAGATTTAGATTAATTAGATAACCTTAGTAGATACAAAAATCAACCAATTTTTCCAAACAAAGCTTATTTTAACCAATGTAGGTAACAAATAACTAAAAAAAATCTTATTTTCAACATTCAGATATAGGGAAATTGTGGCTGAAACTTTATTGAAATGTACAAAAATAACTAATGAAACAAATTTCATTTTTTTTAAACAATCAACTGTGAGCATAATAAGAATAGATGCAATATTTAAATTATTTTCTTACTATTACGTAAAATGATTAGCATTTGCACAAAAAGGGAACAACAATAAGTGCAGAATTCGAGTGCATAATTCCAACAGCTTCAAATATTAGTCATAAACGTCTTTGTCAATATTTCATTGAAAAATAACCTACAAACATTAAAATTAAAATAATAAGTCAGGATATGAAAAGCATATAATAGGAAATAAATTGTATTCATTTAAAATTCCATTCGCTGATCCTCCCTTCCCCTCGTAACTGAAACGTTATAATATATAATGGTTATATATATTTATATGTGTATATTGTTTATCTTCCCGTTATCCCTCCATCTTCTTATTTTATTTAGCAATATTTTTACTATTCAACGGTAGTTCGGTAGTTGTTGTCGTAATACTAGTCAATTTAGAAACAAACGAACGGTGGCGTAGATAGACCGTAACACCGAATCAAAGGTTTAAACATAGCTGAAATTCCGCCTGAAAATATTTGAACCACGCGAAATTTTTTTTTGTATGAAACGTGTGCTATCAAAGCCTGCCCTCAACTATCTACGCCACTGCAGTCAAAATGAATGGAAATATTGACGAAATAGCAACATTTCCAGTCATTCAGCCCCATATTTCTACATTCATGTCTATATAGTATTAAATAATTGAATATTTTACTTTGATGTTGCAAGCGTTTCAGTTTAATTGATTGAGAGTACTATTTTGTTTCCTAGTTCATCAAAAGCATATTCTGCAAGCTGTTGTGTTTGAGTACGAGAACGGCTAAGAAGATTATAAAACTAGAGAATATTTATAAAGCTAAACATATTACAGTGCCATTATTAATATACTTTACTCGAGTTTTAAAATTGGAGTAAATTATTCAGGATAGCGAAAGATATCACGAAGCGAAAAATGAAAACTTGAAATATATTATAGTACTGTAATTAAATTCAAGTAAATTTCAAATAATGTTACAGGTTGTAAAGAACTTGAATCTTCATATTGGTATCAAGATTATGTATTACAGCACAGGTATTGAGTTTTGGCGAAAACCAAGTTCGGATCCAGGTGGACAACGAGCGTCGATACCCATCAGAAGTTGCACGAGCTTTTTGTTGGAAATAATCCATTCAATAGTTGGGGTCAAAAATAAGATACAAAATATTACAGTTTTTGTATTATGTTATACAAATTGTTAAAAACATACAAATGATGGCAACCGACGTGCCAAGTTCTTCCGTAGAGGAGTTTAACTACCGACCGGGGAGGTTTCTTAAGACGTTCATAATAGAAGCAAATTTGATACTTAGTATGCAGGAAATTTGAGTTTAAGTTTTACTGAATTTAAGGTATAAATATATTTTCAAAACATATCCATCTCCTAGTCGAAATGAGATAGATCCTAGCTGATCTTAGCGCTGCGCCCATAATCAACGGGCAGCAAACCAAAGTCTGTAAGGAATCGTACTGATACATAATGTACGCCAAACGTAGAGTTCCAAACTTTTTCTAACAAGTATAAGATATTTAATCTGGTGATATATAGTAAAAATCTATCTCTAAAATTTTAATATATCCGAACAGACAAATATACGTGATAATTATTAACGTTTATAATTGTGTAATAAGGAAGGGGATAAGTTGTCTATAAATATAATAATATGGTTTAACGAAGTTTAATAAAGAATGAGGTTTAATGCTTGAAGTCTCATATATCCGTTAATATCTTTGTAAAATGCAGGAAGAGTAATAATCACAGATATTTTTCGAAAAAATATTTATGCGTATTCGTGAGACTAAAACCACTGGACTGAATTTAACAATTTTGAAAGCTACAATGAATGCAATGCTAGTTAATGTTTCATGGTAATTAAGGTAAAGACTGTAGGCATTAGAGCAATTCGATTTTTACAAGTACGCAAACAAAAATCAAAAATATAGGAAGTTTTCTTTAATCTCGTTAAGAAATCCATAGACAATTTTATCGCAAAGAATCTTTATAATGAATTTACTTTGAAGGAAGATGCAGGCGTGTTAGATTTAATTGATATGTCAAACAGATTTTTTATTGTTATTGATGCCATTATTGATATCGCATAGTCATATTTTCATTCAATGGACGCTTGTTTCTAGCCCTAAATTTACGTCTTCAAGAAGTTCAGAAAATTTATGCTTGGCCAGGGAAGAACTATGTGTTTTATGTTACTTATTTTGAAAGAATATATATTTTACTCATTACATAATGTCTTCCATTGTATTATAATTGAATAGATGTTGTAAAAACCTAAAAGATTAGAATATTTCTGTTTAGTAACCGCAATGGGTATTTTAGTACTGGAAATGAGTATAATAATTATAACCATAGATAAAATGACATGCAATTGCTTACATCAAGTGCCGGTATTCCTAACTAACTAACATAATAATTATTAATAATTTACTTACTATTTACAATAATTTGATTTGGAAGGTAAATGTTTATTGCAGCAAAAAAGTAATGACACAAACTAATTAAGTTAAAACACAAGTTCATTTAGTAGTAAAACAGGTTTATTTATTAGCAAGATACATTAGCCTATTAAAAAATGGCGATGTAAAATCAAGTAGGTATAAAATGTTGATTTATCGTAGCACCTTTAAATGAATTTTTTAATGGTTTAACATTTAACTCATAGATACCGCATTTCAGTATGTATCACGTATTAAAATATTATAGACCGGTTGGATAATTTTAAGATAAAATAAAGATTACCTTAGTTGCGTCAAATTTACATTTCATAATATATATTTTATTACTGGCCACATCCAAACTAACATATATGTAAGAAACGAAATTAACAAATTTTCACCCAAATAGTTTATTATAAACTATTTGGGTGAAATTATATATTATCTGTTGACTAAAATGAAGAATTCGATTTCGGTCTCAGTGCCGCCGAAACTCCGCGTCATTCAAGTTGAGAAGCAAACGTAATGGGCAAATAAAGTAAATTAAATAAATTGTTAGTTTAAGGCTAAAGGAAATAATGCGTACATCGTATTTTACGAGATCACAGTCATTAAATTATAATATTTAGCGAATAATATAATTTATATAGTGCCTTGTGAAATTCTAAGGGCAATTATTACTTACATGGCCTCACCTTACCTAGCCTCAGATTGCGGTAAAATTAGGATGGAAACTATTTTATATACGGTACAAAAACCCTCATACTTTATATACTTTTACTTAGATAATTATGAAATATAAAAAATGCCAAATAATCGTTTTCATCTTCAGTAACTAGACATGAATATTCTAGAAGTTGATTGATTATTGTTGAAAAATGATTATGAAACATAGACATAGATTTACAAATTTCACAAAAATATTTATATGTACCTAATCAAGTGGAGATTTGAGTGAGATTTACGTCTCTATTTCAAAATATTAAGACAATATTATTATAATATCGACACATATTTCTGTGATTAATTTTAATTTCATTTAAGGTAAGTTCATGAAAGATAGAAATTATTTTAAAGTATTGCAATATATTTGCTTCGAATTTACATTCAGAGTAAATTTGATCCAAGCGAAATCTGCCTCACTTTTATTTCTTTATTTTCTATCATTGTTTTCACTCTACATGTCATATATGGTTAGAAATCATAAATTTTCAGTAAATATTTTAGAAAAAATATTCCTTTACAGAAAATTAGATATATCATTTAACTAGCTTTTGTTAGAAAGCGACAAACAGTGCGAGAGAGAGGGAGACAGAGAGAGTCGCTGAGAGTCGTATGGAAGTGGCATAAAGCATTTTACTTGCGAGACGACTTCATTCCCAAATGTAATGCTAATGAAAAATTTTTATAAGTGTAAGAGAAACCACAGAAGCACAGTGCCAGTGGGAGCTTGATTTGGAGAATGCTGGCACCGGTAGTCCAGGATAGCGGACCCAGGGATTATGAACAGATGACTTACAACAAATAGTTATAATTCATATTTACTTTTTTTCAGGCGTCAAAGGCATTCTAGGGAATGTCATACAAAATCAATATTATAGGTTTGCATACAATTAATGGCTGATTTGCTGTAAAACATTTTACGGCCATAAATTGTTTTTGTACTCAAACTTTATCATCGAACTGATCAATCTATTCAACAATATAAAAGAGAACATAAATCTCCTTTGAAATTCAAATATTGTTGTTTCATTTTGCACCCAAATACACTTTATGACCGTTACTTTTGCTAGGTGAAGTAGGATAGTTCATGGTGTGCGCGGATAGTTTACGAATTTTACTTGATGATTTCGCAGGCTCGCGGGACCGAAGAGGAACGGAGTGTCCGTACCGTGGGAGCAAACGAATTTAGTTTCAACCACCATGATTAAGACCGAGGCGGCCAATTACGTGCCATGTGATAGTTCATCATCGTTGCAATGGATCGACACGAACCTCGGGAACGAGTTGTCAGTCATCAGCTACGAGGAGGTGCACACAGAGGAGGACTTGGACAACAAAACACCGTTCCAATTTCAGCTGCAGTACATCAAAGTAGAGAACGAGTAATGGAGAACGCTGAACACTCGGCGTTAAAAACCGCATACGAACTGACAGCCAGACTGAAAGAGACTTCAGTATTTCCAATAAAGGTTGAGGTTTTATTTTATGACCGATTCGATAGGCAGTCTGTAGTATATACTTTCATATCTGTACTAAAACACGTTCTTAAATCAGATGAGACTAATCATGTTGATGAAATGATTGAGAAGATATTGCACAAAATTTGTTTAATATTCGTGTCATATGTATGTTTCAATGTCCATGTTAGTGAGTGTAGAGAATAATTAATGTTTAAATGTTATTGTAACAGTATTACGATTAAGTAATACTATTATGATGATTGCTTGAAGAACAGATCCCTATTCTACTGATTACAGATCAATATATTTTTGTGAGAAATTCTAGGAACCTCAATTTTTCTAAAACACTTTTTATGGAACATATTTACTATCTGCTATGTTTAATACTATAATTTATATATTTTAATGTTAAGCGAAATCCTGTTTAAAAGACTGTATTAAATTTTTATGTTTCTCTCCTACGAAATTATAATGTAAAAAGAAATAAATCGATTTAAAGTATATTTTAACGTTAAACGATTAAAAAATGACAGAAATATAATTTTATATTTACAACGTTCGTAAAAGGTCTATATTTAGAATTTTATTAACAATCACAATTGTTTATACATTTTCATTACCTGTATCGATTTTGATGATTGTACTTGATAGCCGACAGAGGGCTCTATATTTTCCTGTATTTACCCGTTCTTGAAAAAAAATCTAACTGTCTACTTTAAACAGTTTACATAGATCGAGGATAATGATATTTAAATGAAAGGTTAAACTTATGACGTACTTAGCGTTAAAATGATTCCACAATTTTTGAATTTTCTTTTTAAATAATTTACGTATGCGAGAGGACGTAACTAGTATTAATTAAGAGTATTACTATTGATAATAATAGTAGTAGTATTGATTATTGGAAATGAGTGTACACGTAATTCACATTGTACGAATTCTACCGTAAAATCATTGAATTTTTTTCTGTGGTAATCAAACAAATTTCTTTGATGAGGTTTTTAAAATAATTATATTTCTTAATGTTTCTACTTCGTTCTCTTTGCAATTTTCAGGATAAATAATTTGAATTATACATAACTTTTCAATTCGGTTAATAACATGCTTATTTTCATGTAAATTACACAAGCCATTCAGAAACTTCCAAAGATATTGTTCATACGTATATTCGAAATTTCTAGCACAACAATTCAACAATTGTGCCTTGAGAAATTAAAGTTTTTGGAACTTGTATCAGAGGTACGTCTTTTTAATGTTTACGTAGTCACTGGGTAAGAGGCCCTGTAAAACAATATTTGTAATATTTACACTTTTATCCTTACCTTTACGAATATGACACTAGTCATGTTAAAGGATTATTTAACTGTGGTAGAGCCACGCAACAGTGTTCGCTGTTGCACGAATGGGTAGTCCGTCCGTGTTAGTACCACGACCTCACAGAAGACCGGCGTGAAGTAGAAGTGTTATACTTCTGCGTTTCGTCTGGTGAGTGAGGTAGCCGGGACCCACTTTATTAAAAGGTGGCAACGCATCTGCAACCCTGCGGGTGTTGCAAATGTCCGTGGGCGGCGGTTATCACTTAACATCAGGTGAACCGGCAGCCCGTTTGCCACTTTATCGTATAAAAAAATGCGAATTAAATTAGTTTTAAGTCCCAGGAGACAAACAAGGTAAACACATCGTTGTTATATCACTAAACAAAATATATTAAAGAAGCTGCTCAAAGCTGGAAGAAGGCTTCTGTTGTCTTTGTAACAAATTTTAGTTATTGCCTATTTATATTCATATTTCGTATTGTCTTGTTATATTCATATTTCCCTAAGTTTCCGATCTAAACTTGCCTATTAAGGTAGAGCATAGCGAGTAAAAATTATTTACGTTTGGTCAGAAGCACAGATTAATTTTTTATTATATTCGAAACGACAACATTCGTTACACAATCCGCTGTTTCGTAAAGTTTGCCAAATTTGCGATAGTTTTAAGTAATATTTAAATAATCATACGTTAATACTGAATGTCCTTATTGTGTAAGATGTAAGCCATATAATGAATAAAATTAATTCTACAACGGCCTTTTTTTAAAATTTCGTATCACAAAATGAAACTCAAATCGCTGTCTTGACCTGTAATTATTGATATATTCCTGTATTTGTAAACTTCTTACTCTTTCCTGCCTCTCTGTTTTTGCGTTAAAAACTACCATTTATGTAGTGAAATAAGATAACTTCGGTAACACCTAATGGATACAATGTAATTGTTGAGGATTGGTCTGCCTTCTTGCTCCTACCAATCGATATTTTTAGTTACTGTTAACTATATCATCTACAGCATTTAAAATTAATTACACATTCAAATCCCAATGCCACGATTACTTTAAGATAAGCTATAAGTACATTGCCTAATATTTAAAACATTATGTTCAGCATACATTTAAGTTAAGAGATTTGACTAATTGTGGGTAGTAGTGGTTTACCAAAATTTAAAAAGGGGGAAAGGAACTGTAATAAGGAGTGGAGGATATGGTACTAGTTACAAAGTTCCTAAAAAGTGTTTATTATTTACAGATTATCATATAGCACATATTTATACACCAAGATATTTACCTGCAATATGTCTTCATTTTGCAATTTTGAGAACACAACAATTTTTCAGTCCGAGGGGGTCGCATAAGAACTGTAGGTGGAACTAAAAGAGTGTGCGTAGCGTGCGAGTAGTAGTGAGTTACAAAAGCTCGCAAGGCGTAAACAGAGGGTGACGCTTCATGAAACGATGGTGATTCAATGTTGTCACACTTCCATGTTCCCCATATACCTTCCTCATATACCCGGTCGTGGAATGGGACGTAGGAGAACACTATTCCTTACATGCAGTGCCTACGCTTTTAACTAATTGGTTCGTCCTCGTTCCTCATCTACGACCTCGGCGACACCAAGACGAAGCGTAGGAACATGTGCTTTAAAAAAATATTATTTTCAGTTTCATTTCAAATTTTGCAGCGTGCTCATAATTAATAATAGACGCAGAATTTTTATATAAGAAAAAAAAAACATTAACGGATGTATAATTATATAAAACATTCCGTAAATTAAAAAGTCAAAGTTCATGAAATATATTTATTATTTACAAATATACAAACATACAAATAACCTTATTAGTTTGAAATAGTTTTTTACAATGCTCGAATTAATTAAAAATTTACCAGTAGGTCAAAGGCGTCGTATAAGAACGGTATGTGTAGGGAGTGCGCGGGTAATAGTAGGGATCTACCAAAGCTCTCGAAGCGTAAACAGCGGGAGATGCTTCATAGAACGAAGGTGATCCAATGGAGTAGACGGATGGTGCAACCACGGGGCGAGCGACATAGGCAGGGCTGACAGCTGGTGCGGAGACAACTGCGGGGGCAACCTTAGCTACAACAGCAGCGGGCACCTTCCTCACAACAGCATTGAAGCCATTGACGTCATCAGCGGTGTAGTCGACGATGCGTTTGGTGCCATCAGCGTCGAGCAACGAGTATTGGCCCTTCACTGTACCACCGACGCGAGATTCCACTTGACTCTTGTAGTCACCGGTGTTCGGGTCAGCGACGTCGTACGCAAAGCTTGAGTAATCGGAGCAGTGGGCGACGCCCAAAAAGGCGAGGACTACAATAATCTGAAAATGTACCAATAGTTAAAAAATGTTTCTTTAAGAATCAGCTAAATACATAAACGTGTTTTTGGCATACTAAATACCTTCATTGCCATGTTATTAGAGTATTAACGGTCGTTGAATGATGCCAATAAACTAGGCAGCACCTTTTTATACAGAACTATAGGAAATAGTTGGAAACTTAACGCTCATATTAGTTGTAGATTTTTATTACTTTAGGACATATTTATTTTTTACATTCAAGATCACACGTTGTTGGCAATGTCATTCGTTGCATCAAATTATATTTCTGTCTATTTATTGGGTTCTTCATTTGAATAATATCTATGTATTGATTTCTTTTTTACGTGAATATTATACATTGTTAAATATATATGTCAACCCTTTTATTCCACTACTTGACTATAGTTGAAAAATAATGGGATCGCGGTGCAAAGCGTTGATAGACATGTTCATTAATTCAATTAATTTTAGTTGCATACGTTTCTTAATATTATTTCTTTTCTTGTGAAATTTGTCACAGATAATGTAACATATGACAGAGAGTTCATAGATAACTACCCTCAATTTGAAACGTGGTTAATCATGACCTATTTTGGTAACACCTTTATCGGCTGTTAAGCTTAGTTGGTAAAGCGTTTGGATGCGATACCGGTAACGCAGGCTCGAATCCCGCAGCGCAGTAAGTTTTTGTTGATTTACCTACAGAAATATTTACATCTTCTGAGCATCATCAACTAGCATTAAAAAAAATCCTAAAAGATCCTTCGTTTGGTAAAATTGACCAGGGTTTCGCCCGCAACTTACAATCTACCTAAAGCCGTCAGAAATGCTGACAGCTTTTTTTAAATAAATCAATAGTATGCATAAACTACAATAATGACCACTAATGATGTATCTTCGAAAAACCTTTTGAGAGCACTCAAATAGAATTTAATAAAAAAATGGATACACTTAGAAAAGCCACCCTGTATATAAAACATTCCATAAATTAAAAAGTCAAAGTTCATGAAATAAAAATGTGAGCACACTTACACAACGATTGTGTTTAAACTGTTTCTCTGTTCTGTAGTTAGTCAGCGTCAGTTTTATTAAGTACACGTAGTGATGGAGCGGTAATGCTTTTTAATGGTTTGGTATTTTTAATGGTCTATAATCTCGGACCATGGGCTTACATTAGTCAAGAGATTTTGAGTTTTAGCATTGCTATTTAGTATTCTTTCAAGCTTATCATCTACAAAATATACATGTAAGATGGATGATACAAAAAAAGAGTTTTAATTGGAATTTAATTGAATTTTAAAAAGAGCGTCTAAATAAGTGTCTTTATCAAACGAAGATGACCTAGATGTTCTAAAAATGTGTATAAAATTTATATTTTTTGATAGTCCTGTTTTAGTAGTGATAGTAGTAGTAGTTCCTAAATATTCGTAATTATACGCGTTCGACAGTTAATTAGCATGTTCTATGCTAATAAGTTATGTTAGATGCATATTAACAAACAGAATTAAAAATAAAAAGGAAACGAACAATCGTTTTGTTGCCAAACATACGAAAATGGCATGTTTAAACTAAATATAATTAAATTAATTCTAGATCTAAACCTGTGATTCGTTAAAATATTAAATATCTTGGTCTTTTACGTAGTTAGGGCATGTCCCCATGCAAATGTGGTTACTGTCCCTTGTTAATGTAAAAGTAGATCAATTTTAATGGCAAAGAATCAAACATTCAATACATCATATTTTAACATCGTTGAAGAGAATTGAACGCTACTGCAATTTAATGTTGTGTTTTAATTTTATTAATTGTCCGCTTAGTAAGTTTTTTTAGAAAATAACTTCTGGAAAACTAAAGTGGCTTTGATTAATTATACAGTATAGATTTTTTAATAAAACATATCAAATACTTTAAACATGACAAGGAAATCACATAACATGAGCTTAGTTCATTTTGAAAATGCTGCATTGCGTTTGCCTTCTTTTCAAAATAAATCTCATAGAATATCAAAAGATATCTCATAAAGCATACTGAGAATGACTTAATCATTCTTTATTCATAATTGTATGACGTGGTATTATACTAAGCTTTTCTAAAATATCTATTGATTTGCAAAGAAAGGTATGATTTAAAATTATCTAGTATCCTTAATGTTGCGTAAAAATATAAAATATATTATAAAATATTTATTAATGCATTTACAACCAATTAAATCCACAATTTGATTTAGAGCTCAAGGCCTTTAAAAAATATTAGAATTTTAACGATTTTAGGAAACAGATCTGAAACTTAGACGTACGAATATTGTTGAGTAAGTTACCATTACTAAAGTTTCATGACCTTGAATTTGCCAATAAACGGATCTATATGGTAGTTTAAATGTATCATTAAATGGCAACTAAGAGTATCTTCCGTCGCTACTGGAAAATATAAAAGCTGGCGATATAAAACAACCACATCAGTTAAGTAGTTACAGCAACAACGAACAGACATGGAATTTAAGGTAATTTGGATTACAATATAATTAATGCCATTTCAACATTAAAATTATCTTTCGAACAATTTGGTGGCTAATTAAAAAAAAAATGGTGACTTTTATTTTCAGTTTCTTGTAGTGCTCGCCTTTGTGGCCGTAGCTCGTTGCTCCGTGGTGCCAGCTGTCTCAGTGGTGCAAGCAGACGGCGACTCCTCAAGCTTTGCGTACGACGTGGCTGACCCCAACACCGGTGACTATAAAAGTCAAGTGGAATCTCGCGTTGGTGGTACAGTCAAGGGGCAGTACTCGTTGCTCGACGCTGATGGCACCAAACGCATCGTCGACTACACCGCTGATGACGTCAATGGCTTCAACGCAGTTGTGAGGAAGGAGCCCGCTGCTGTTGTAGCTAAGGTTGCCCCCGCAGTTGTCTCCGCACCAGCTGTCAGCCCTGCCTATGTCGCTCGCTCCGTGGTTACACCATCCGTCTACTCAATTGGATCACCTTCGTTCTATGAATCATCACCCACTGTTTACGCTTCGAGAGCTTTCGTAGCCCCTTACTACTACCCGCGCACTCCTTACCCCTACAGTTCCTATGCTACCGCTTTGACTTACCAGTAAATTTTAATTAAACGATGTATTGTAAGAACTATTTCAATGTAATATGTTTTTATGTGTACTGCATGTATATTTGTAAATAATAAATACTTTTATGAACTTTAAGGTTATCATTTATAGAATTGTGTTTAGTATTTACATAATATGCGAAGAATTTTTTTCGTAAAAATGTGTATATACACAGTGATATATGCAACTTTAAATTCTTATCATAGCAATGGTTATCTGTTATATAAAAATCTGTCTCATAACTTTCGATTGGGGGAAACGATTTTGATGATTTTTTATTTATTTGAAAGCTGGTGTTTCCCATGTGGTCCCATATGAATTTCATTGGTATAGGATCTTGGGCTCCGGAGATAGTTAAGGAGCTCCTGAAAATCAATTATACAAGTCCATTTTTACCCGATTTCAAAAGAGAAGGTTCTCAAATCGACTGTATCTTTTTTTATATTTATAACCTCAGAACTTTTGCTTCGTGCAGGATCCTCGTTTTGTTACTTGGCCCTTGGCTCGCACTTATTTGATATAGCTACGAGAATATGGAAGCGCTTTCGCATTTTTTTTAATGGAGAAAAGGGGCAAACGAGCAGGAGGCCCACTCACAAATGTGTTGCCGGCCTTTTAAGAAAGAGTATGCTAGTATACTTCTGCTAAGGGTTCTTCCTCTTCTCGGAGAAGATCTGCTCCAGTTAAAGCACGCTGGTGTATTCAGTGCGCCTCCTACTCGGACAATGAAGTATCCCGTGATCGCTGACCAGAGGCCATAGGAGCCAGGAGAGCCAGTAAGCAGCAAAGCTCCGAATCCAAAGCGGCGGACCAGGTCTGTGGCTCCAGCACTCACCACGTTTCAGCCGTCGACGGTAGGGAGAACGGATCGCAATACCGACACTTATCTCTCCCGCGGCCCCACCTATACATCAGCGGTACAGCCCGACCGATTTCACTTCGGTAGCAGAAGACAGGGAGAGTAGTTCCACCACCCTCTGCCTGTTTTTTTTACACCACAGAACAGCCCCATGTGGTTTTCTCTTGGCTCTATCGTGGATGACCAAGCCATGGCTATTAAGCCCCTTCGACAAGGTCCCGCGAAGGACCCGGTCAGAGGGGCCCTTAGGCAAGCTTCCAAAGTCCAGTAGTAAAACAGCAGTGCTGCTGAGTGGCTGTTCCTTTAGTAGGATTGAAACCACCTGATGTTCATAAGACAATTATGTCTTTGTACACACTTGTTAAATAGAACATATCGAATATAGACCGGGTGCTCATAATATGGGGATATCTGATTACCACCAAGTATTAAAAGTATTACAATTGCAGCGTTTGTTTGCACAGTTATAACTAGGAAATTATGCGCGAATAAGATGATTAACAATTCACTAAGAAGCAAGTAAATATTATTTCATCTCTTTAATTAAAACTACTGATTGGAAATCTTTTTTTATTATTGATAATATAATATCGCTCTTAATAGTTACAGAGTGTGAAATAAAATAATTTTATCAAACGAGTCATCGTTTATCAAAAATCACATTTTCACAAATTATAAATCACATCTTGCTATTGTCAAACAGAAGAGGAAGGGAATGTTGAGAATCTGTATCGGAAATGAAGTGGAAAAAATGCTTGCATAATTTTACAGAATATTTATGAATAGATAAAAGATATCTCATAGTATCTTAGAGCAAAATATCTTTAAGTATGTTTTAGTTACCAAGTAACCATATCACAAGCTTTACTAACTTTGGTATTACATGACAACTCGTTCCTGCCACTACCTCGATGATAAATATAAAATCTTTCGGGATAATTCATCCACATCACTTAAAAATTTAGCGCAACAGTGAGAAGACATGGTAATTTTGTCAATCCTTAAGACAAAATTGACACTAAAAGCCTGGCATGTTTCCAATATGACAATAAAATAATCCCCTTTTCTAGTATTATCAAGAACCTAGGTTGTGTGTTCAGGGACAACACAATGAACTGCCTTATGAACTCTATACTGTCTGAAGAATTTTCTTCCTTTTAAAACTAAGCTTATGTTTGTGCAGATGCTTATCTTACATATAAATGTTTATGCGGATATGTGTTACCCAAACTTAAAAAAAAATCCTCTGAACAAGCTAAAGCGCCTTTTCAATGATTGCGTAAGATACTTACATATTTAATCTTAGAAAATATAAAAATAAAAAAAAAATAATATTTCCCAATCAGCTCACTCGGACTCAGCATAAATGGCGTAGTGTTAAAAAACGGGGATTGTTCTTTTATCGATTTATATCTTAATAACAATACATTTCATTAAACAAGGAAAGGGATCTCCGTTCTTTATCTAATCAGATGATTAGTATTCCTCAATATTTTCCACATTCTACAGTAACTCTTTCACCGCACACATTACACTGCTTTGGAATTCTATGCCTGAAGACATACGAACAGTGCCAAACAGGGCCTCATTTAAGCATATGTTACTGGACTGTTATTTAAAGAAGGATGAAACGAATTACTATGGCGGTTGTTGTCGTATTTATAGTATATGTATTTGATGTATACATGTGTTTATTTTTATATTGTATATGGTGTGTTATGTTAATTTTTATATAATATCTTATAGCCTATTTCGGAGCTTATTAGTTTTATGATGAGTAATGCGTATATGTGTTTGTTTCATTCATATTATAAATTCATTTATTGCACCTACCACGATTTCTCCTTACGCATGCCATTAGATATTAAGTTCGCCTTTTGTTACATCAATCATTTTAAGGCGTTTTCAATAAATAAATAAAATATAAGGCCAAATTTAAAAATAGTCCAGTCTGTGATATAGTGCTGCATATTTTATTTTTTACGTCTATAAATTTACAATATATATATATATATATACAATTTACATTTTAATGACAAATCAGTAGGAAATCAAAGGGGTTGCATAAGAACTGTAAGTGTAAGGAGAGCGAGAGTAGTAATAGGGAGTTGCTAAAGCCCTAGTGGCGTAAGCAGAGGGTGATGCATAAAATGGCGATCCGATGGAATAGACTGATGGTGCGGCGACAGAGCCAGCTACATAAGCAGGGCTGACAGCCGGAGTAGACACAACAGTCGGAGCAACCCTTGCTACAATAGTGGCAGGCTCTTTTCTCACAACTGCATTGAAGCCATTGACATCATCGGCGGTGTAATCGACTATACGTCGTGTGCCATCGGCGTCGAGCAACGAGTACTGTCCCTTCACAGTTCCACCGACGCGTGATTCCACCTGACTCTTGTAGTCACCGGTGTTTGGATCGGCTACATCGTACGCGAAGCTGGAGCTGTCACTGTCTGCTTGCAGTACTGGGACCACAGAGCAGTGGGCTGCTGTAGCAACTGCGAGCACTACAAGAAACTGCAAAGAGGGAAATTACTTAAGAGGTGTATTTAAAAATCAAAAAACGTACAGTAACTGTCCGTTAACCGTTGTATGACTGTTCTAGGCTGTGTAGTATACCTTGGCTACCATTTTCTTGGAGCGTTGACACTCGTTGAATGATGCCAAAAAACTACATAGGACCTTTTTATACAGATCTTAGTGTTTACTATGGGAAATAGTTGGCAATTTAATGTCTTGGTCGCAACCAACGAGTATTTTAAATTGCCGACTTTTAAAATTTTATTTAATTACTTTAGGAAATATTTATTTTATTAAATACAAGGTCGTGTTTCGTTCGCAATTTTACTAGTGTTAATTCTTTATGTCATCTATTTCCTGATAGACCATGAATTTTAATATAGTAGGTATGAATTTACGTCCAACTGAGTTACAAATATAAGAGTCTTAGTTGCAATATCAATCTGTATAGTTTAAGACAACTACTGTAATTTTTTTATCACAGTGATGGAATCGTCCAATAAATTTAATATAAAACTTTCACATGTCGGAACAGTAGTCGCTAATTTACCCGAGCTAGTTTAACTAGTTAATTCTTTAGCTTTCTAGTCCATATGAGCTAAGAACACATATTGGTATAAGAAGTTTAAATTTAGTGCTACTGACGTAAAGCAGCAAGCTTGTGTCGCCTTCTCTCAAAATCATTCGTTCGTTTGCATGTTTATATTATTTATTTATTTCTTTATTTGAAAACTTTGTCCTTACTTTAGGATAATATTATCCTGTGTTGTAAGGATGTTTTACAAACATAAATTTCACGAGAACAAACACCCAGATGCGAAACAATTATCTGTGGGTCACACAAACAGCTGTCCCGTGTGGGAATCGAAACCCATGATACCCGACGTCGTAACCAATACCATGGCAACTGCGCCACGGAGTCATCAAATAGTGTAATAGTTTTATATATATATATATATATATATAGTGGTAGGCTATGAACAGCATGCTCGTACATAACAGCTCTACCTGCGCGAATGGACCATCTCTACCATATAATTATGACAGAGGACGGGCGTGTAGAAAAATTATTTACATTTTTGCCCATCGTATGGTGAGTGAGGTACCTGAAGGCGTACACTTAGTAGTTGGCGCCACGCATTCAATATCTCTGGTGTTGCAGATTTCCATGAGTGAATGTCCTTACTTACCACCACTTGAACCATTTGCCAGTCCGCACAATATTTCCGTACGAGTCAGCACAATATTTTTTTTTTGGGCTGCATGAGCCACTGTTGGCCTTAGGGGCCTTTACAGATCCAACGGACTTGAGGTGGCCTGGCGCACGAGGCGCCTAGCCTGAACCTCGGCGTACTATTATTACGCGTAATGGTGACTAACATCAAGGGATCCCGGGGGAGCCTCGGCTCGGGCCGTCACGCTATTAATATTACCGGTTTGGGAGGCCGCCAAGCTCTTAGGGCGCTTTGGCGGGCGCTCCATGGAGTGATCAGGCTCAAGGGTCCCCGAGAGGGGACCTCGGCTTGGGCTTCACTCAGCACGCGTTTAGCATTCCGATTCGAGGGTGCCCGAGAGGGCCGGACCTCGGCTCGATCGGTAGCTATTATCTGACTGGGAGCACAATATTTGAATCATGTTGCTAATGGTATTGCCTGGGTTTTTACAATTAGCCACTTATCTCACATCAAACCTCCTTAGGAACCAACACCCAAATCCGGCACAAATGTCTCTCGCTGTGTAACACGTGGGAATAGAACCTATGACCCTGGGCACCGAAGCCAATAGTTTAGCAACCACGCCACATAGTCATCCGTTTGCCGAATTTTAATCAGTATAGAAATAAAATAATTTAAAGTTTTATTTACAACACGTTGTTCAATTAATGCCTTGAAATGATAATATAATAATAATAAATATTTAGGGCACTTTTTTACACAACGTTCTCTAATCCCAAACGCTTTCTCTAAACATCCTTTTCTTTTGTAAATGAATACACGTTATAAATATATAATGATCCAGACACTGGAAAAACACTATGTTCATCGCCAACATTTTTCCAGTACCGGGGATCGAACCCACACCCTCTGGGCACATTAGGCAAGTTCACTACCCACTAAGCCAATTAGGTGTATTTTAATTCTGAATCATTCTGTAAAAGATTTTAAGGTTCCTAATATAATCTAGTAGCAGGTTTAGACATTACTTATTTACTTAAATGAGTTTATGTTTCTGAGACACACAATTATGATCCATAATTGTGTGTCCCGGAACAAACATTTATGGATCATGAAAATTCTTATATTCTGTATGGAATGGACCCACATCACAGTCATGAAAGTAAACACAATGAGCAAGTGATATAAACGGTAGTAATTAATCTTTTATAAGATTCTGAATTTTTGTAGAAGTATCAATTCTTTGAAATTGAATCGTGTGATGACAACACTTACTTTTTTATTGGACTCTCACTACTTCCTACCTTAATATTTTGGTGTTGAGACGAGTACTAATGTAATCTCATTTATTTATATTAGTGTGGCAGGTGGCATCAAGCTAAAACACCGTTTTATCAGCTACACCAAATATTTTCTATATTTAGTACTTTACTTTGGTATGAATAAAAAAGTCTCAAAGAGCGACAGTGATCCGTTAGTTTTGAAGTTTTGTTGTTACTGACCATTCGGATACTGTATGATATATTATATTATATTGCGTTATTAGGGTAGGTATGGAAGTAATATAACTTTAATAATAACTTTAATGTTGTTTTCTATGCTTTATGAGTATTTATGTGTGGATTGTAAACACAAATTCTTTTGTATTATTAAATTACGATATACGAATAGTGCGAGGACAATTCGTTGATTTTATTTTAATTTAAATCTTGGATTTCTGTTGAAAAACAAACATTCATTTTTAAACGAAACTATCTTAAGTTTTGTTTTTAATTTAAATATAAAGTCCATACGTTGATCCTGAGATCATAAGATCATAAATAAGTATTGATTAAATATAATTATATAGATTAAATATAATTTTTTAATTACAGCATGTATTATAAAGGTTTTGTTACATTCTTGTAGGATATTCGTTTGTATATGGGAGAAGAAAAATGATACGGGGTGAATTGGAAAATATGTTAATTTATTGCATACGAAATTGGTCTGTACAAACTTAATACTATTTACAAGATGATGAAACTTCGAGCAAATCGTTAATTACATAGCTATTGGAACTAGATTTGGAGGGAATGATTTACCAGTAGGTGACGGGGGACGAATACGCAGCGTAGGCGTATGGCGAACGGGTGAGGTATGCCGGGGAAGCGAGGGAAGAGGCCGTGTAGTACGCTGGGGCAGCGAAGTTGCGAGCGAGGACTGTTGGCGCTCCGGCTGCGTAGTAAGTAGGGCCGGCGAAGTATTTCTGCGCGTACAGGGGAGTGGACGCGGCGTAGACAGCGGGTGCGGCCACAGTGCGAGCAGCGACCACAGCGGGTGTTGAGGCGACAACAGCCGGAGCCGAGACGACGGCGGGTGCGGCCACAGTGCGAGCGGCGACTACAGCGGGAGCGGAGGCGACCACGGCAGGGGCGGAGGCGACCACAGCGGGCGCGGCAACAACGGGTGCAGCAACAACGGCAGGGTCCTTCCTCACGACGGCGTTGAAGCCGTTGACGTCATCGGCGGCGTAGTCCACGGTGCGTTTGGTGCCGTCCGCGTCGAGCAGCGAGTACTGCCCGGTCACGGTGCCGCCCACACGCGTCTCCACCTGGCTCTTGTAGTCGCCCGTGTTGGGGTCCGCCACGTCGTAAGCGAAGCTGGTGTAGTCCGTGTCTGCTTTCGCCAGGGTGACCGCCGGCACCACGGAGCCGTTGGCGACTGCCAACGCGGCGAGCACTACGACGAACTGCGAAAATATCACGATGATAGTATTTTCCATAACCGGCACTAACGCTTAATGTCGCAGCGCTTTGCAATGTTTCACTTAGTGAGTACGCTCAGTGAATCGCAAATTAGACATTCTGTTACAAGTGACCGCTAAAAGAATATTAATATGTGTTGTTACAAAATCCGCAAAAACTGGTACAGTGATGTTAATATTGGTTAATGTGATATTCGAAAGAATATTACAACAAACTGGAAACAGTGAACTGCGCACAAATTAAACGGCTGATTATATTGGGTTAGACGCGTTATATTCTAATAAAACACCAGCTTCTCGTCGCTAGCGGTAATCACCTTTGATGCCATTGCTGTTTGTCTCGAGGATTTCCACTCGTTGAATGAATACCGACTAACGTGGTCGGGAGCTTTTATACGGATCATACACGCGCGGGCGTGGCTCCGCGGGTCAGTTGGTGATCTTTAAATGCTCGTACGCCGGGCGTCACAGTTTGTATCCGGAAACGCAAGGCCGTGCGTCGATCTCGCTGGAAAGAGTAGCGGGGACAAAGAAAGACTTCGGATGCGATTATGAATCGTCACGGTCACAAATGTCGACCGTTGTTCTCCAGTTAGTCACTTTCGACACGTGAGTATTTTTATTATACTTGCGTACTTACTTAGTTTTCGCTTCGAATATGTTATTATCTTAATATGATTAGTTTTTCATTACTCGTTGACATTTTCTTTATAGAACGTTAACATTGCTGTTTCTTGTACAGCCTCAATTCTCGATTAAGTTTAGTCATTTTCATTGATCAGGTTGTCGTTTGCCTTAGTATGCCGTCGCTGTGCGTACTCTTAATTAAAATTATCCATCCAACCATCAAGAGAATAGATATTCCTCGCTCATTATTATAAAGTCATAATCGAATGGGTTGTAAACTAAAATGGTTTAAATTTTTATTAAATATCATAAGAGTTAAATATACCTAAGATACTTTTGTGCATGAGTTGATCTACAAGAGTGATAACATATTTTCATAGATGAATTGTTTTTGTTATTTTTAATGACATTCAAAGTTATACAAGCCATAATCTTCATGTAGTTTTGTACTTATCCTTGCAGGAGATGACCCATCCATTATTCGACACCGTGCATTTCGTCGTGCTATAAAATGATCTTAATTAAAACCTTATATACCAGTAAAGGCAAAAAAAATTACCTTCATATGTAAAAGTTATCGACTTATTTATCAGGATCCGTTACGTTGCCATTAGTCAGTATTTTAAATAAAAAAAAATTAATTAGTTTAGGACCAAAACCGAAGCTGCTTTATCTCTTTATAACATTTATTTGTTGAATCAGCTTATGTTATGTGTTCAAGTATTTTATTGTAAATTTAGTATCAAGCCGATCCTACGGTCCCCAACGAACTAAAATTATCTCTTTGCACACTTAGTTGACAATTACGAGCAAATTTGGAGCGAGAGTCTGGAGCGCATCATACATTTTTTTCAACCAAAACAATTGTAACTGTTTCGGCGAGTGATTATTTTTTATGCAGAGCATAGTCGAAGAATTTGCATAACAAAACGCACTAGAGATCTCGCGGCGTCCGAGTCTTTGTTATTAAATCGGAGTCGTGGTTTGAACGATGTCATTCGTAACCGACGCGGCTTTACGAGACCTCCTTACGTTATTATTTCGCGGTCTTTGGAACTAATGCAATTGCACCACAGATTTCGGAGACACCAACACAATGCATGGGCAGACACTGAATAATCTTAGAACATTGAGATTCTGATTTACATATAAATTTTTTGATATACCTATTTACGAGATTTAAGAACGTGATTGCCTTTATCCTCATGCGTGATGCGTAAAGCGTAATGGAATAATTTTCTTTACATTTGAGCAATACTAATTGTTGCAAATTAATGGCATGCTAAAAGCTGGGATGGTGTTTTGTGGATTGTTGGTATGAATAAATTAAGGATTTTGAAACAATCAAATTTTACGTATGGCAAGAGGCACACAAACTTTTTCTCACTCTAATTAATCATCAATCATCGGACTTCTTTCAGCATTTTGAAAAAAAAAAAAAAAAAAAAAAAAAACACAAACAAAAAATTATATACTTAATTTAGTACCACCGTATGAACGAATTACGAATGTGTGGTTTTTATGAAATATTAATTAGGCACAGTGCAGTTTTTTCGCTTAGCCTTAAATTTTTGAATGGGCTTTATGTTTAACCCGCACCATGCTTCCAATTTTAGAAGTAAAAAATACAATGACGTTTAATGTTGAGTCCGTAGTAACTACGCCTAACCAAGCTCGTTTGAATTTCAAGTTGTCTACAAAATTATAACGATTTCGGTGTGCAAGTGATCTATAGTTGCGTTTGTTGGTTCGCAAATGCTTAGTTGTAATATTTAAATCGTAATAGCACGTGGACTTATATTCACTTGCCAAGTAGCGTTGTACCGAAACTTAATATCAACTGAAGTTAACTTCTTTTTATGCACACTACTAATTTACTTTTAAATGTACTGTAATTATTACACTTATCGCTAATTCAAATTTATTTTTTGGAGATTTGTGTCAACTCGGAGGATTTACACATTGTATTAAATTATTTTTTTATATTATACACGGGCTTTATCTAGAAAATCTTTATTGTTCACATGTTGTCTTTCGGTAATGACATTCGCCACTACGTGCCAGTTGCCAATTTTCCGTGATTTGTTTCTTCAAAGTTACTTCCATTATTTTAATATAGACGTTTCATAGCTTAGAATTTATATCAGTGTTACACCCGTTTGCAAAGTAAGCGAAAACGATAGTGAACGACCAAGGTCTACAATAAGTAACTACCTACATCTTAATGGTTTGAGTCACCTGATCGCTTTATGGATATCGTTGAAGATAAAGATAGCAAGCAAGATACATTATATATATTATATTTAAAAAAATACAAATTAGACAGAGCTAATTTCATTGAAAGAATTAACAACTCAGTAGTCCATAAAAAATTATAAATATATAAAAAATATAAACAGTTTTCCAAAGGCGAAAAGCACAAGTAAGCAAGGAAATGTTGCGTGGCTATTATTCCGTTATATTGCAACTATTCGAAAAGATTTTTTTATGTTTAACAATTTCAAATTTTAAAGGAAAATTATCAACTTTTTTGGAGAAATGTAGGTAACAACAACAAGGAATTGAAAACCTTTTTTATAATTTTTGAGACGAGGAAATGAAAAGTGATTAGGTTTTTAGATTATTTTCTATACCATTAGTCAATAATGCTGCATGTAATAATAATGTTTGTGTATGTATATGCTCGCCTAAAGTGCTCGTATTTAAATGCATATTTCAATAAATGTAATTGTTGAGGAGTTAAACAAGGCCCATTTTATTAAAAGTTGGCAACGCATCTGCAGCACTTGTCAATGGGTTGCGGTTACCAGTTAATATCAGGTGTACCTCCAGCTTGCTTGTCACCTTCTAACTTAAAAAAATTACTGAAAACTGTTGTAAATTACAATATTGTGAAAAAGTAATTAATGATGTTCTTGTAAAAAAAAAGTACCATTGCACCTTTTTTTCTACTTTCAACTTAGAATTCTTCTTCACGATTAAAGACGTCCGTCATATGAAGAGAAGAAATAATCTCATGATGTTTGTAACAAAATATTATTCATAAACAAACCGATACATACTTAGCTAGCGCAAGGCCGTCTGCTTATTTATTCAATCGGGCGTCAATTAACGGAAACGCAGCGAGGAAGCGAGCAATAACCTGTTGACATATCGATGTAAAGTATGTTACGTCAATTTCTAACGCTTTTAAGCATTGACTGGGTACATGAATATCAGTTTTTTGGCATTTCCATTGCCACAGTTGTCTGAACTGTTGCATGCTTCCTCGACATGAGTCTATTAGAAATTTGTTTCACCTAAAATATTTTTCCGCTAATGAGTTTTTATCTTTAAAATTAAGTTGGTTAAGTATATCTATTCAGTTAGGTTAAGTACATCTATTCAGTTAGGTTTTTTAGACGACGTGTTATTTGGTAAGTGATGAAGTATTAGTATTATATCTTTAATGTGTGGAGCCGTGATAGCTCAGTGTCCGGGCGCTCGCCTTTAAATCAATATACTCGAGCAACCTGAGTTCGATCCCCGGTGCCGGCACCCATGAAGTTTTTAACTTTAAGTGCTGACTTATCACGTGTTCAACGGTGAAGGAGAACATCGTGAGGAAACCTGCATATTTTCGAAATAATAACAAAAAAAAATATTTCGAAGAATGTGAAGTCCGCCAATCCGCAGTGGGGCCGCGCGGTGGACTATGCCCTGATACCCTCTGTATAGAGGTGGCCTTTGCCCAGCAGTGGGACATGTACAGGCTACTACTTTACTTTACTTTAATGTGTGGTTATGGAAGCTTTAACAAAACTTTTGAGAGTCGAAAAAGACTTATCTATTGATTTTCCCTATTTATTCATGATGGAGTGACCATCTGTGCAAATGTGCGGGAGTTGATTGAAGTTGCTCAGGATCGTGCTTATTGGTAGTGTAGGTAGGTCTATGTTCAGCTGTTGCAACATACTGAAATGATCATGATGATTCATGGGGAAAAAGTGAGGTAAGTTCGTAGGTACTAGTAAACTTTGATCATAGAATATCTACAGAATTTTATTGTAATAACTAAATGAATGCAAGCAAGACATTTCCATTAATCTATCCATTTGTGTTGTCAACTACTAAGTGATTTTATAAAAGTTAGAATTGCAACATTACACACTACCAAGTATGAGTTCCGGTACCATTTATGATCTAGATATACTTAGTTCAAATGTGGCAAACATACGTATTATTAACATATTTAGCTATCATACATTTTGGTATTTGATACAAATACTAAGTAAATAACGTGTTCCCACGTCAGTAAAAACCGGACATGAATACTTGATCCAAATCCTTTAAGGAATTTGAAAGAGAAGTTATATACAGAAAACTGAAAACGGGAAGACTCATTTGTTATTATTACTGGGATTCAAATCCGCTAGTCTAATCAATCATTCAGTTCACCAAAGGTCGAAAGGAAATTGTTTTTATTTAATTAAGGCCCTTTTTTCCAGTCAATGAATGTAAAATCGATCACGACCGGTTTTCGAATTTGGCAACTGTCCTGAGAAGAACCGGTAGATTCTTTTTAGAAAGACTTCATACAAAAATAGTATTGGTCTATAACCTGTGTCATAACTGAATATAATCTAAATGTAATAAAAACTAAATGTATTTATATTTATTCAAAATGGCCCAGCACTTGACTGCTATCCCACCTGATGATAGG